TCCAGAATTAAAAGGATATCGTCGCATAATCGCAGCATTAGAATCAACAATCATACGAATTACCAGTGAATTAGGAAGACTATATGGAATATTAAACAGAAAAGATTGGAGTTATATTGGATGGAGATTTGATTGGTTTACAGGTCGTTTCGGTGATAATACTAAAAACATTGAAAAACGATATTCAATGATGAGATTTTATATATGGACTCTTTTGGTTCTTGTATTTTCTTTGCATAAGATTCAATATCTATAAATTAGATAAATCGTGATAATACGGATTTGAATTCCTATCAAATGATAACTTTATATTGCTTTTAAATATGTACCGGTAGTAATTTTTATTACAAATTAAAACATGATACAGGTGACTTTATCGTCTGATTTATTAATTTGTAGAAATCAAGTCGTATTATGTGATAACTAGCAAGAAAACCCGTAGCCTTATTAGAGATATTTTATAGCTAAACCTATATGAATAACGCCCGCTCATTAAATTCATCCCTAAATAAAAATTACATGAATTCATGTTTCTTTTATAATGAATACCTAATAATTTCTTGTTATCTGGCATGATTTGACGGATGCATGGGTATTGGCAGGATAATAGCAAAAGCACGTGGCCGAAGGCCTCGTGCGTTGCAATTATACTGTCGATGTCCATGATCCGTATATCATGCCAGATAACTAGTTTATCTGGCAGGTATGACGTATACACTTACGGAAAGAATTTTATATTACTTCCGCAGGTTTTATATTAAAACCAATAAGAATTTGTCACATGATTTTAATAAAAATCTGCGGAAATAATGTAATATTTTTTCCGTCAGTGTTTACATAGTACCTGCCGGATAAATCCTAAATATTCGAGTCCCATATTTTATAGCTAAACCTATATGAATAAAGGTCGCTCAATAAACTCATCCCCAAATAAAAATTACATGAATTCATGTTTCTTTTATTAAATCCTAAATATCCGAGTCCCATATTTTATTGCCAAGTCATGCGGCTTCTCTTACGTCAACCATCAGAGTTAAACTCGGCATAATTGTACCAAGCTTTCCTATTCGATGTAACAATATTTGAAAAATAAGTAAATACTTTGATTTTTCAAACGGCCCTTCATTAAAACGTTAAAGAAAATAACCAATTTTACCCAGTATGTATATATAGCCGGGTACTAGAATTAAAATACAACTTTAAGTTAGCAAGTTAGCAGGATGGGTTAAAGATGTATTTATATGCAAAGTTGAATGCTGATAATTTTATTTATTAGCACTGCATTGGTTTTCTTTAAAATTTCAAACGAAGATATCTCGACAATCACCTGATAGAATTCGATGAAAATTTTTTATTTTAATTCTGTTAATCTTTAGAATTAAAATAAAAAAAAATCATTAAATTTGGTCTAGTAATTGTCGAGAGATTGTTTGAACATTTTTTTAAGCCTTTATACGAATGTTTCTCGACAACTACCAGACCAATCTCAATAAACTTCTTTTATTTTCATCCTACAAATTTATAGGATTAAAACAAAAAAAATTTATCAAATTTGAACCAATAGTTGTCGAGAAACCATCGCTAGAATTAAAAAAAATCAAAATTTAAAAAGGATCACAGTAAAATCAATCAAAATCGAGAATCTGCCACGCATTTTTGTGCGGCACTTAGGTTCAATATTAGACAAAAATTGTAAATTTGGTTGTTTTCTATTAACTCAGATCGTATTATATCAGATCAGGTCGAATACGTATTGTTCGTTTTTTTTATAAAACTTAAAAAAAAAATACAGTATAATAAAAAATTTTTTTTAAGAATAATTTGTGAGAAAACCATATTGGTTGCTGATAGAATATATCTTGAAATAATATTTAAAGATAATAATTTTACATTCGAAGATATTTTAAATCATTATCGCAAAATATTAAATATTGACTATTTTAAATATTTTATATATTAAAAGTAAAACATTCATCATTTAGAACTCATATTTACTTGATTTTCCGTAGAAGTTTTCCTAATTCACTGGTAATTCGTATGATTGTTGATTCTAATGCTGCGATTATGCGACGATATCCTTTTAATTCTGGA